CTGTGTGTGTGTGTGTGTGTGTGTGTGTGTGTGTGACTCAAGCAGAAAGACAAGCAGCACTAGCAACACAAGGTGAATGGGGAGGCAAAAAGGACGTAGTCAGCAGGGAAATGGAGATGAGCGAGCAGGCAGGCAAGCATCAAGACCAGGGTAGCAGCTTACTAGCAGGGCAACACAAGGCAAGCGGGTGACCAGCAAGGCAAGACAGAGCAAACAGACGGATTGCCTAGCAGTGGGGTAGCACTGACAAGGCAGTCTACACACACAACACAGAGGAGAGCAGATCAGGATCTACTCACACCACAAGTACCACTCGACAGAGTCTAGATGCATATTTAAGAGCCAGGGAGCCACAAGTCGATAGCCTGTCATGACTCGTGGAACACTAAGGCGCAGGTACCTTGAACGTATGATCCCCCTCATTGTGTCACAAAGGCACAACGTCATGTGACAAACCGGCACAGACTATTTCGCATCTGGTAAAGCACTTGGAGCAGGAAAGCACAGACAGGGTCAGACAAGGGTGAGAGTGGGCACGAAGAGGGCAACAGAGATATAGTACTCGGTTTCAGCTTCGAAGTAATATGATTTTGTGTGTGTGTCCTCCGAAATCCCCAAAACCAACCGAATTCTTCCTTGGACAATAATAATCAGCCATGTCTCTGGAGTCGAGAGCCTGGTGCCCCCCGAGTTGTACGGACCCATCTGCGTAACGCGCACTTGCACCCAAAGATCAGAGAACAACGGAACTACTCATAGAACCTGAGTCATCCACGTCCGACCAGCAGAAGAAATCCTGACCCGTCTAAACGAAATAATATAAGACGTCTTGAGGACTGCATGCACTCCATTGGAGTAAACACAGAAGGCCGCATCACCCCCCCGTCCCCCCCCCGAGTCCCTTGGCACCAGCAGCCGTGCAGAGCATGTCATTATCACTATAATATGTCCTCTGGGACAGGCTATCCTGTGGGGATCCCACTCCTGGTGAACATCATCTCAACCCAGCCAACCGGACCCTGGTTGATGACACCAACCAGTCGGAACATGCATAGATTGATGATAGAAGCTTGGTACAAGTGTACCAACAACATGAGGCCTGCACACACCCAAACACACACACCCAGGGCGCCCCCGTGCCCCCAGCCACACACCATGCATGCACACACACACATGCACACACCTACCAACAAACAGGCACAAACATATGGAAGGGGTACCCGGGAGAAAGCAAATGTGAACACATTTGCTTGCTATTGAGGTGAAACTGTTTCAATTGTTGGGTTGTCTGAACTCAGGGCTTTCGAGGTCTGCAAATAGGATTAAAATTTAAAAATGCTTTGATTTTGGATCCGGTTATCTGGGTGGAATAGGGGCCGCTGTTGTGGTGAAAATTCAAAGCACTGTGTGCACAGTTTTATGTGTTCCTTCGTGTTTTTCTCTGACTGTCTTCCTGGCATTTTTTCCAACTTTTTGAGCGTCCAGCTGAGCACCTTTAAGCAGTGCCAAATAGTCGGGAAATTTGTGTTTGGAGAGTGTGCTGCACTCTTAGGGGGGCCCACTCAGGTTGGGATGTGTCGTGTGCCTCCCAGTTTAAGCAGGTCATGACAGATGTTTGTCTGAGTGACTCCCTGGCTCAGCGTCTGGCAGGAACCAACTCGCTCATGATGTGAGTAGTTGATGTGCCGCTTTGCTCCGTGTTGCATGGGTAGATACCTCATCTGCACTCTGCTGCTGCCTTGCTGCCCGTCCCGCTTGCTTCGCTTGTCATTCTTTGCAAGCTGCTTCGTTCAGTGTGGTGTGACTGCGGTGTCCTTGTTGGCGATGCCTTAGGCCTCGCTACTCTGCTGCCTTGCGGCCCATCAGCATGTCTTGCCTTCAGCGTCCTTTGCTTGTGTGCCGTCACTGCAGGGTGTTTGGCTGCCTTGTCAGTGTTGCCACGTGCTTCGCCGTGACTGTGCAGTTGCTGTGCTTCTTTCAACCACTTGCCCTGCCATTCCTTGCAGTTGTTTTCGATGTTCTGCAGTCGTGTTCCCGCGACAGCATTAACTGGTGCTTCGTTGACTTGCTGCCCGCTGCCCGCTGCTATGTTATTCTCCTCTTGGGGGATAGTCTTCCTCCAACAACGGTCGAAGGGTTCATGACCCAAACCATCAAGACGGTAGTCTCAGAATGTTTTACTACGGACTATCAGTTTAACTCTTGACTCAATTTATTATTATGGTGAATTATTGTATCAAGATTTGAATATTCGAGAATACTTCGGTTCAATTCGACCGCCTATGGGTGTGCAAGTGTTTGGTTTTTGTCCTGGTAGACGTGTTATACACCATAATTTTCCTAAAAGAACTGTTATTCATCTGTCTTTTCTCAGTAGATCTTTGCAAAAATCCAAAACCAACCCAAAAAACAGACGTTTTGATCAATCGAGGAAGTTAATAAAGCACGCAGTAGATTATTTGTTATGCAATATTTTTTCTATGCAACAAAACGATTGAAATTTTATCAGCTTTAATAGGCTTTGTTTGGGGTGGGGTGGTGTCGGCTCCATTATTTTCTTGGCCAGGCAGTGAAGGAAGCTGATGAGCGGAAAAAGGGATTTCAACCCTCAACCTTAGCCTTGGCAAGGCTA